TCTCTTTTCACATATGCAGTTCTGTTTAGTATAAGATTGAAATTCAATTCGATTCTCATTGAATTCGTAATATCATTTAGAAAGCATCCTCTTAACTCTGAAAATATATTCAATGTAAGAGACTTTTTGTTAAACAAATATTCATTTTCTGTCGAGTGTAATACCATCAAAGAGATGGCATACATTAAATTTTGATTAATTCCCAGAAATCGGTTTGTAAATTTCAAAGAAACTTTCACCAACAGAATAGTAACAGTTTTAGATTATCAATAAAGTATGAAATCATAAGAAAGATACTTAAAAGTTAGTAAGCTTGTTGAGTGATCGAACAATGACCAACGTACTCGTTGGTTGGAGCACGTATTTCAGCGGATAGAATAATTCAAGCATGCAAGCTGGCTTGTGAGTGTGGTCAGCCAGAGAGTTGAGTCTCGACAATTATTATTTAATTCTGAGGTGAAGAGGTCACTTGGAATTTATCCAAGAGTTTACTTCATGTTGAATTTTCAAAAAATAAACACTTATGAAACCATAAGCTTAATGAGAAAGTATTCGTGTATTCACATAAAATGGTATCGTGTTATTTTACCCCGAATTAATGTTGAGCTGTTAAAATCACGTTTGAGATTGAAGTGATTACATTTATCGATCTCGAGAGTCGTTAAAAGCGTCGACGTAAAGCTGCCAAAGCCTGTAGCTCTGTATGCTCCATACGATATCTCGTAGTTTCATTTGAAAATTGAGTGTTTGCGCATTCGTTACAGATTGCCTATCACCGCGATAAAATGCATTGATATGGAAAGTACGTTTTGTTAGACATCTCTCATCCCTTCGTTTATAATGTTCAGTTGTATTCGATAATAATATCACTTTCAATAATTACCCCTATCAATATTTTCTCTTTAAATCCTCGTATATCCTTTACATATATTATCAGATTCCACGAATCCTTTTTCGTCTTCTTTTTTATACCCTTATTCACTTCGTTATTTATTTTATGTCCCTTTTTTTTTCTTGTTTTTAACTCTACTAAAATTTAATTAGAAAGAAGAGAACTATGTCAGCTTGTCAATATCCGAGTCAGTGAGTTGAAATTTTTATTTTTAATTTTTTTACTACTAAAATTATGAACTGTTGATAGTTGATTGGAGCTTCAGTAACATTGATTGCTTTTTTTTAACTAATAATAAATTTTTTGTCAATCTAGAGTAACTCTAGAAATTATCAACAACGATTTATCGTGATCACGAATTTCGTTCAATCTAGTTTGCTTTTCTATTTGAGAGAATTATTGATCAGTAAAAGTTAAAAATGAATGACAATTGTAAAAGAGTTTGATAACAAAATACCTTTGAAAAAAAATTGATTAAAATTTTTGAATTGCAATATTTTTAAAATTTCACGTAATTTATAATTTTATTAACGATTACTTTTTTTATTCTTTCCAGTTGTCAATATTTATCTCTTTTTTAGAATTATTATTTAAAAAATCAAGGCTTATATCATTTTTTTTTTTTAAACTAAAAAACAAAAGAACTGATAAATTATTTTCTATCTAAACTCCTTGGAAGATCTACAAATTATATTTGGTTCATTGGCATTTAAAGAAGATAAATTGTTTATCATTGACCGGAAAAATCGTTTTTGTTATTGGGAATGTAATCAGATTACGGCTGGAATTTACGAACTTTCAATAGTAATTGTAGTATGAGCGACAAATTTAATAGTACCTAATAGAATCTCGAGAGAACTTATTTTATACTGAAACTAAGTTTTTAAAGTCATCAAATTATGATTAAACTATTTTTTAATTATTTCAAGTAACTATCGGGACTAAAACTATAAAAATTTTACCATGTCAATCCCGAAAAAAGAATATTTTATTGCAACTTTTTGAAATTTTCATTTTCTTGGTTGAAAAAAAAATATTACTTGTTCTAATAAATTATTTCTCAATATACTTAAATTACTTCATTTGCAAACAAAATGAAAATCTGAAATCATTAATTTTTTTCAACATTTTATCTATACAATTTCGTACAAAGTATGAAAAATTTTATTAACGGATAACCGTATAGACTAGTATAGTTGAAAGTTGAATATTGTGGTTTTCATTAGATGCTCCTGAAATCTGTGAGTTTCAATGAATTTACAAAAGTTTTAGAAAGTTCAAAAGCTAATTTTAAAAAGCAAAAAAAATCTCATAAAAAGTTTAATTATCTAAAAATATTATTCAGTAATTATTATTATATTTTTTAGAAAACTTATACGATCGTAATTAGTCAAATAATTTATAATAGATTTATCTTTAATGTAAAAGAACAATCGAATCACTGTCAATTTTTAGCAATGCATCCTGATTTGCATTAGATTATTATCGATGCTGCATAATCGACGAAGTTGCAAGTATAAGCGTATTCATCCGTCATAGTTTCCTGCGTGTCAATCTTGACTTCTAATTAATTATCATCCGGATGACGGTGGCGTGATCCCATACAGCCAATAAATTTTGTTGTGACGCCGCATGTTTGCATTCATATATCCGTCAACTCACTCTCTTGTCTTTTATCTCATGAATTTTGGCGAGAATTCATTAGAAACTTGCCTACGAAATATCCTAATAATTTCGATTCTGACAAGTTATGATATGAGAAAGCTTCAATGGAATCTATGAATTTGAACAGAAAGATGAGTAATAGCATCTCAACCATTTTTTGAATTTTATATTTCCATACTTACATATTGGCAGTATATCGATAATGACCAATTAGTCATCATTTTTTCAAAGGAAAGAAGTATTGGTTTTCGTGAAAAATTGGGGAAAAATTGAAAGAAGTAATTTTTTTTTTGCAATTCAATATTTTTTGAATTAAAAAAAAAAAGAGGCTGCGTGTGTATATCTACAGACTTCCTTCACTACGATTTTTCATGGATGAGTAATGCAATCGATATTTATGAGGGTGATAAAGATACGTTCTGACGTAACTTATAGCCGATTAGATTTTCAACCAATCTCGTTTCACGATTTTTTATTGTATAAAAAAGAGAATGTGATTTTGTAATATTCATGTTAATTTTTAAAACTACTTAAAACTTTAAATATTCACACTTTCTAAAAAATTCAACCTAAAATTCATATCTATAAAATTATCTAAATTAAAAAGAAAAAATTTTTTATTGTTAAAATACATTAAAATCTATAACGATAATTATGAGTTGTAAATAATTAGCATCAACATAATGTCCGAATAATTAACAGAGTTGTAATTTAATCCAAACTATGAGAGAATGTGAAATTGCTAACATTTGTTTTATAAATTATCAACACTTTTAATTTCATTTGTTTTTTCATGAATTCAGCATTAGACAGAATATAAATTTTCGATCTCACCACTTGAATGTCGTTTTTTACCATTAAAATGTTAATGAAAAACATTAAACTTCATCAAAAAATAATCCTGTAATTCTTATCACCTAAATAATATGATAAAACTTCATTTGAAAGTTCTTATGTCTTCTGCACGAGTAATATAATATAAAATCTCTCATAATATTTATGTTGAATACTACTTTTATGTTATTAAAATAGTTATTCATGTTTTTAGCAAATATGTTTTTGTCAGAATTAGAAATAATAGCGGAGAAAAAAAAATTATTGCAATAAAATGGAATAAAATAATGAATAGATTGCTTTACAATTTTTCATTCAATTATAGTATTTAATTTCAATGCATTGAAAGTGTGTAATGCATAAAATAGTGCTTAAATACAATGTAATAAAAGTATCTTTTAAGTGCATTGATATAAAACATTATGATTTATAGTATTCTGTAAATAAAAAAAATTGTTTTTTTATTAAATATATATTTAATTAAGTATTTTGAAAAATGTTCCCCTCAAGATTTATTGTGTCTGATTGTTCGAACATTATCCTGAAGAATAGCTTTGAAACGAATTTTGTTACATGATGAAGTCTATATCAATTTTATAAAATACGCATTCATTTTAAAATAAATTGACTCTTTTCGATCTTCATTATTATTCATATTTCATAAACAAATACTTGTTTATTCTTGTATTCAAAGCGAATGCAAGCTGTAAATTTAAGGGATCTTGTTTTTGTCATTCGGAAGTGAAATTTATTCCAGCGAGCTGGTGTAAATTATTGTGTAATAATCTGTTTCTGACTTGTGACTTATGGTCTCAAGACGCAGCCAACGATGATGCAATGTTTTTTCTAATAAAAATTGTCCATAAAACAAAAACTACTTTTTTCAACTATTTCAATCAATCATCAACGTCTTAAATCAAATGTCTCCTGAAATACAAGTGATGAAAACCTTCGCGTAATTAATTATAAATCAGAGCTTTATTTATTTTAGAGTTTTTCACTTTAGGTTTTTTATAATACGACACTTGTTGATTAACAAGTTGTCTCGAATTTATTTTTTCTTTTCTTTTTCAACATAAACTAATAAAGAATAATTTAACCCAAGGCCACTTAATCAATCATAGCTCTTCAATGGTAAGTTTAAATTGCTTGTTATGCATACTGATGAGTAAGTAATTCATTCCTTTCTAAAAGTCTTCATAGTAATTAATTTCTAATAAGTCACATTTAATAGCTAGAGCCGTTTAAGTGAAGAAAGTCAGATATGCTCAACGTACCCCATAGTTGAGGTTAATTCACCAAGGGCATTTCATTCGTACATTACCGGACAAAATTGCTATTCAATTTTTAGAATAAATATTTTTCTATTATAAATTATAAATTATAAATATTTAGAATAAACACACTTTATGCATGTTATTTTAATGTGTTAATAAAATTTTATATACGCAATGTAATATTTAATTACTTTTCTATAAAAAAAAAACGAAAAAAATTAAATATTATTAAAATTAAAATTTAAATATTCCAAATATTAAATAACTCTTCATATATTTTTTAACCTAACTAAATAGGTATAAGCTAAGAAAAAAAATTATGTAATACTCACTCGAGCAAGAGATACAGCTGGAAATGTGTCCCAGATGAGTTCCGTTTCTTCTCCAGTACGTCCCTGGCGTTGGCCGGAGAGAATTCTGGCAGCAGTAAGTGTGCTCATTCCCATACCATCACCAACAAAGAGGACAACACCTTTGGCCTCTCCATTTGGGGGTGTGACACCCGAAGTAGTCGCGGCTGTAGCCATTCGTATCCTAGTTTCGATGCTCCTCGTAGCTGCATCGTACCACACGTTCCTCTCTGTGAAAAGTCACAAGAAGACCTGGTTTGAATCACGATGTACTCGTGCTTCATAAATCTTCAACCGGTGTATCCTGACTCCTGAGAATAGAGTAGCTAGAATGTATGCTAACCTAACTACACCCTTGCCTTCTGGTCCTTATTCTAACCGAGCTCTAGTCTATTCAGCTACAAGTTTATAACACTCGGAACAACTAACTTGGATTTAAATCAATAGCAACATTCACTTTATTATAATTACTGGAAATGGAAGCTGTTTCTATACAATATGTTTCATTAAATGTGGTCTTAGAGAATTCTACCGAGAATAAATGAATCTTTTTCATTATCATTGATGTTTTTTATGTAAAAATTTTAATTAATAACTAACGAAGGTAATTCTACATTTTACTTTTATGTAGTTTTATCAAATCCGATTTTTTTAAATTTATTCAATGAAAAATTATAATTAATAAAATAAAGTTGAACATTTTTATAAAAACTCCAATATAGAAGCTTTTCATTGTTAGTAAAAAAAAGCAATATTACAAATTATTATAACTAAAATATACTTGTTAATAAAATTACTATAGATTTTTTGCATTTCATCAATACAGGGAGATTGAAAAATAATAAAATTACTTTCTGGAATATTTCAATACTCAGTTTTTATAAGTTAAAGTATAAAAAAGCTTAATACATTTTAGAAATTTTAGCCAATAGGAAAATATTTTATAAATAAATAAATTATAAAAAATCAATTTCGACTGGTCACAATAGAAATTTTTTTTCAATCATTTCGTTTTAATTGTTACTTAAAATAATACAAAGAAGTATATTCCGTTAATTCACAGTAAATCTGAAGTGCGTTAAAATAATACACTTTGAGTGTGTTCAATGTTAAATTGCTATACACTAACTATAGAACGTTGCAGTCATTTTTAACTCACTTTGAGGTGAATATTATAACAAAAAATTCTTTTCTCAGTGTAGTCATTCTTGAATTTAATTTGAGAGAATTTTAAACTAACTGAAATTTTTATTTTAAAATCCTACTGAAAAATGACCTCTTTTGATTTAAAAATCTTATTCATGAAGAAGGGTTACTCACTTAGCCCCACAAGACTATAAATTTTGAGATATCTAACTTGACCCCAGTGTCTCATTTTACCATGACTTCCTCTGAACGGCCCTCGAAATATGCAATCCATTTTCAAATAATTGTTTTTTATAGCATACGAATATAGAAATGACGTCGAATAAAATACCAACATCTTAGACTATAATTCTTGGGAATAGAAACGAACGTCGTATAATAAATTAGGCTAAAATTGATAGAATTTTATCTACTTTAGGATAGGGATTAGGGTTGGATTATATAGAATCGCGTGAGATCTCACGGTTATTTCCCTACGGTCCGACAATTCCGCAGACTTTTAGAGTGGAAACAAAGTCCGTAAACTACTTCGACGACGACATTACGTTCCTATAGAATATATTACTATTCACTTGCTCACGCTAATGGCCAAGTTTAGTGCATTATAACTCGCAAATCCATCATCACATTTTGGTAAAATTACATGCTAAACTCTGGCTATTATAACTTGTTCAAAATAAAAAGAATATGATAAAGAAATCAAATGGAACATACACAGGAGACTTTCGATAGATGTTTTATTTCTTCCCTAATCCTTTTGTTGATGTCCAATTTCCTCTCCCACTCTGTCACTTACACTTTCCCTAATCTGTATCTTCAATGGCCAAATGACTTTTTTTATATGTACTTGAACTAATATAAATTTGAAGAAGGTAGTTGTCCATTTAAATTCTTCAGAACTAAAGTCGCAAAAGTGAGGGCTCTTGATAGGTTTTACATTTCTAAGAACCTACTCGTGTTTAAGTTCCAATCGTGTACACTTATCAAAAATTACATTCAATCAGTAAGACATTTGATAATTTTTTTTCACACATCTTTTGTCAAGTTTAGAATTTATCACGTTGTCTATTCTAAGTTATGGTGAGGTATTTTGTACGAACACAAGCTCGCTTGCACTTGGTGTTAACTGGACCGGCAAGAAATACACTTTATCGTCCACAAGCAGTAGTGAAGGGTGAGATGAACGCCTCTAATTCTATCAGAGTAACTTTTGAACGATGTCGATGCGCTAGCACTCACTCTAATCTAATGGTAATTAATTTAAAGTGAATTATCTTTGCTGTTGAAAAATGTTGGAAAAAAAATGTATTTCACGCATCGTTGAGATACACAACAAGAAATTCTCATGGTGATTACCTCGACTAATTGAATGTTGTTTATGAATTATCGATGCAGTTACAATAATTATTGAGCATAAAGCAGAATTTGTTGAAGAAAGTAATGATCCAAATGGCTAAACTTGGATAACAAGGATAATCAATAATTAATCAAAACTCTATGTATTATTTGAATTACATGTTGGAGGTAATTAATTGGATTTATATTATAGTACATATTTAACAGAGAATTTACACAAGAATTAAATTTAAAGAAAGAACGCAATGATAAGTACTCCGAGACCCAAAAAGATTAGCTAATATTTCATAGAAGTACATTATTGGATGGGTTATTGGAATAAAATGATATACTCTCAAGGTAAACTGTGTTGTGTAATCTGTTTGTTTCTTAAATAAAAACAATATAAAAATTTATTGAATAAATATAATTGAAATATGATAATAACGATTTAAATCTGTTTTACCAACAGATGATTTTTATAACTCAAGTTGAAATAAATTACAATTGATTGATCCTCAATTGATGATCCAATCAGCGCAGTTTCTCACTTTTACTCACGAATTAATTTAAATGTCTATCAAAAATAATCTGACGATCAAATTAACTTCATACAAATGTATTAAATGATTATTAAAAAGAATTAAAAACGACATAGACATTATATATTTCAACTGCTGGACATTTACTAAGTAGGGTTTTAGTGATGCTAATCTCGCTGTTTTCTAGTTCAACCCATATCAAGAGACATTGTCAACTCAAAAAGATAGCATGATGAACTTGGATAGTTCTCTGTCTCAATCTATGGGACATCTAGGAAAATGCAGATCAAAAGATCTGGTTGCTAAGAAGACCATGGTCTACAGTTTCTATAAAAAGGACAAATACTTCTCCCACATGACTGTTTCATCATCATTAAATTAAATCAATAGTTTGATTTGATTCAATAATTAGAAAAAGGACAAATGATTTCAGAAAATTGAAAAAAAAATCACTCTCTAATATCAACTCAAAATTTTTTCATCTAGTCCTGATTCTAATTCATTATTCATTCATATCTGAGTGATTCTAACAATTCAAGAGATCCTTTAATGAGATGGCAAATTCCTAGAGTTTGTCCTGTGGAGTTCTCTACTGTTTGAAATTATAAGAGATTATTATAACTTTGTGGATTCTTATTATTTTAATTCTAAAAAGAAAAACTACATGAAATGTTCATAGTGCTACACGATTTCCTCTACATAATATAATATATTATTTCACAATAATAATATGTTAAATATTAATATTATTATTACTAATATATTATTAAAGAATAATATTTACTAGAATCACTGGTATTACCATTAATATTTAATTTTCAATGAATCATTTGGTTTCAAATATTCGATAATTGTCTGATCAATCGTTTAAATATTAAAATTAAGAACCATTTTTAATTTTATTCCTCAAATTTTAATACTCTAGCTGTTTACACGTGTGGCGTTCTATAATTCAACAAAACCATCATTGAAAAATAGTAAAGAGCTTTCTTAAGCTTAGAGTTGGAAATTTATCACATCCGAAATATGATTTCCGAAATTAATTTCCTTTTATTTATATTCTATGGCTCCTAGAATTTTTCGGTTTCAGGTTACCATTATAATGGTAGAATAAGCAATAAATAAAATTTATGTCTATTGGAAATTGCTTATGAAGAATTCCGATATGCACTGAAGATAGCATTTTTTTGCAGCAATACAACTGATTTTCTATTAGCAATTGTAATTAATCATTTACACAACCAACTGACATTTAAGAAAAATCATATTTCTTTCTTATTTTTAAACATAAAAGTAACGCATTTAAACAAATTGAATGAAACGTTAAATATAACTATTAAAAATCGATCTTTTGTATTTAAAAAAAATTTTATTATAGCCATAAACAATAATAATATATCAAGAAAATAAGCTACTATTTTTTTTTGAGTAATAAAAATTTTTTAATATCAATCATTAAATTCATTTCATTAAAAAAAAGCTTTCAACAGAAAAACTAAAAATTATTAATAAAATGTAGATGGATAGTATTTTTTATCAAATAAAAAAGTGTATTTTTGTTATTTTATTGCACATAAATCTCATAAAAATAAGAAAAATACCGATATAAAATTTTCAAAACATCAAACATGAAAAAGCTGGAATAACTTTGAAGCATATTCAAATTTTACTGCAGTAAAATCAACATTCATCTGAAAAGTGAATATAATTTTCAATTTACCCATAATTCAACGTTCCATCTCATGATCAAATTTACTCACCAATATAGAAGGGGCTTAAAATAACCATCATGTGTTACATGTATAATTTGTTGATAAAAAAATTCATTAGTGTCATTCTATCATCAAAGAAATGCCATGGTAACTGATGCGATGAATAATTAAATTTACTCATTCTTTTAGTTTAATACCTATATCAAAGGATCTATTATCCTAGTTAAAATAAATTGGACCTTAAACCCTCGCCAAAATTGACCCTAGTCATTGACTTGATCAATTTACCTATAATAAGCATTGATAGACAAGTTTAAGATAACTTTATAATCAACTAACAAAAAGCTATATTTAAATATCATCATCACTTCATGCTGTTCAAATGATATTCCTACAAGACATGTTTGATCTTCAAATATAAAATGATTCTAGTTATCTTGTCATTGTGATAGAGTTGACATTGGTGAAATGAGCATCAGCACTTCTGATTAGATAGTCTAGATTGGTATCTATTGTAGAGATATCATCCAATCAATCGCAAGAGATTGTATACCTTTGATTGTATTCTGAATTGATTGACAGCAACACTTGATAGACATGTTGGGTTGTTAATTTGTCAACTTACGGTTAGTGATTTAAATTGTGTTGGATTTAAGTGTAGAAGATACAAGTTGAATAGTACGCTATACTGGAATCGGATAAAGGGCTGTCAACAATTTTACGCAAGAGATAGAAACTAGAGAATCACAAAAGCGAGAGAAGAGAAGAAGAGAGCATCAAGTGAAGCTTCGGTGGTTTCCCGGACGATTAAACGACGGCAGGCAATTCCGTGAGCGACAGAGTTGCTCGATAGACTTCCCACAATGTTCCTCGCCTGTTCGATCGATCGATTTATGAACGTGTGAGGCATTTTTCACTTGTATGAATTTTTCATTCTTCCCTGGATTTTTCTAGTTTGTAGTTTTTTATGTGAACACTAGTCGCTGTCTAGTAGACAATTAATTCTTTGTTGTCACATGCTTATTCTGAGTATTCAATCAAGTTATTAGGGAAGAATATTTTTTCAAAATCACTAATACATATTATTAAATTTTAATTCTGAGATCGATGTAAAATTTTTAGTCTTTGGAATAAATTTGTTAAGAATAATTAGAAAGGTGTTGATAGAAATAATTTAGAGACAGATTCAAATAGATAGAGTCTAACACACCTTGAAATAAGTTAAAAATAACTGCAACATTCTATTGTGTTATTTCAACACACTTCAGATTTACTGTGTAATTAACAGATTGTATTTTTTTTTTATTATTTCACGTAATCATTAAAACGAAATCATTAAAAAACTATTTTATTGTGACTATTAAAAATTTTTATTTCATTAGTTAAATGAAAATATCTCTTGTTCACAGTAAATTTTTTTCTCATTGTGGTATCAGTTTTTTTTTAATGAGGTAGTTGTATCAAATATCCTAGCTAATTTAATCTTATTGTTCAGTCAAAATTTGTTTAATACATAGTAGATAGTGATAAAAAAAAAGCTACAAGAATTTAACGATAATATTTTGATTAAAATTGAATTTCCCTTCTAAACATGATGTCACTTTTGATCATAAGAATCGAGTATTGATTAATTTTAACAATATAATGAGATAATAATTTCCTCAGCAATATTTTCTCACTGGTATTTACTAACTAGAGCTTGTATCAATGATAGAATAAAATTTGAAGTAAATACACTATATAAAAAGTTTTTCAAGTATTCTAGTAATTACTGGTGAGTTATTTTTTATCAATGATAGTTATTTGAATATGAATAATTTCATCACTCTATGTACTTACATTCAAAGAGTATTAAAAATTAATGAGCTCGAATATTCACTAAAAGTCTCTAATTAGTCACCAGTGATACTTTGATAAAAGTACCTTAACTGTTTCAACGATCATTACCAATAGTTTTATTCACTTCTCTGCATGCTTCACATCCTATCAATCTGATAATTAATAATTACTCATTAATTCATGTGGAAATGTAAGGATTGAGTAGAGTTTTGAAATGAATGTCAAAAAATATTTGATAAATGAATGTAACTTTTTTATAAATTTTTTTTTAGATTTTTATGAACATCGATTCAAATTATATCTACTTTAAAAATAAATTAAACTGAATATTATCAAAAAGTTATATTAAATTAATTAGAAAATAAATTAAACGCCATTTTATTTCAATTATTAAATAATTAACTTACTTGATTGATGATAAGTTAGTTCTATCTCAGAATAACTCTTTCAATTAATAAATAATAAGGTCTTAATGTAGGTTTCCAAGTGTATTTGACATTTCTAATTATTTATATCACCGGTTGATTAAATTTTCTTCAAAATTTTCTATATAAATGGATTGTAACTTATTTAGTTCATTTTCTCCTAAGAACAATGAAAATAACTTCTATGCAAATTTCATTACATTTTAAACTTTCCTAAACTCATTATTTGAATTATATTAAGTTTTCTCTTATGTGCATTACATCGAAAAGTCACACTACTGATTTTGATCCAATTAACCATATCAACTAGTCCCTTTTATTGAAATATAATAGGTTATAATTCTCTACAATATTTTATAAAAATTAACTAAACTGCCAAATTTGATAAATCTAGATGCTGAAATTAATATATGCTTAAACATGAGCATTTTTACCGAGTTAAAATCAGTGAACTGATAAAAGTAGAATTTTCATAACTTCAATAAAAAGTAACAGAGACAAGGAAAAAAAGTGAGACAAAAATTCCTGAGGGAAATTGAATTATTATTTAAAAATACTTTTCTTATTAAAATTCAATAAAAAAAAAAAATTCCTCAATGTGAAAAACGATCAATTCACACGATAAAAAAAGGTGCAAAGGAAAAAAATGAATCTAAAACTATTGGAAAATTTTATGTACGCCCACGGAGATTACTAATCTAATTAGTTGAGTTATGAATGATAAAAAATGATGAAAAAATAATTGGAAGAGAAATACGAGTCGAAAGAAATATACTCAGAAGATTGACGATGCTTATAACAATCTCTCAAAGACTTCAAGAATTAGTATAAAAAAGAGAGAACGGAAAATAAAGTAGGGATATAGAGCACAGAAAAATACATATAAAAATAGACAAGAAGAAAAATAAGACAATTTTGTATTCACAAACGACCATAATACAGAGCTTTTTTATCTCTAGAATAAAAAATATATATATCTATTTTTGGGATACATAAATTTGAGTGTTGAATTAAGACCCGAAATAACATGACCGAAACCTCGAGAGTGGACATACGAAAATGTAGACCTAAATCCCTGCAGTATTTTCACGGGTAAATATTGGCACTGTGACCCGGTGCGCGTGATACATTTAAACTAAAATAGAGTGGGATAGGTCATGTTCAGTTTGTCGATTTGTTTACATTAATTTCTACTTAGTAAATGATTCTCAACACTCCAAGTTTATATTGACATTCAATAATATACCTATTCATAATTATTATACTTGTGTTGTCATCTTTTTTTAAATTGAATCTCGTAAAGTCTCATTTATTATATTAAAACTTATTTTAACATACACAGAGTATGTTTATTTTACAAGAGTACATTACATTGTTTTCATTTACTTTATCTATCTATATTTTTCTTGGAAACTAAACCTTTTTATGACTCTAGAGCAGTATTAATGGACTTTATATATTCCTAAACATTTAATTGAATATCCTTTAAATATTTTAAGGTTAAAAAATGACATTAATATTTTTTTTATTTAATACACTCACTATATACTGCAAATCCTACGATTTTATAAACGTGTTAAAATAACACACATAAAGTGTATTTGATGTAAAATATCCATAAACAAACTATACACAATTTGTAGACACTTTTTATATGTTTTATAATGTGTGAAAAATCTATAGTTTGTTTACGACATTTAATATTGGAGAGGCTGAGTGTGTTAAAAATGTATACAAAAATAACACACTTGGATTCGCGATGTAATTTCCACCATATTGATTAATTTGTCTTTTATTACTTTGAAAAAGATTGAAAAAAGGTTATTGCCTCTTTCATAAAAGAGTTTAGGTTAGAATTATTATTATTAATAATTTAGTTTTTAACAACTTTTATTTTTTCGACAAAGTATTCATTACAAATGCATTTATCCTGTATAATTTTTTTCCACAAAAATAAAAGAACCGTTCTTGAATGAATTTCAAAATAACTAGTCTTATAATGATCATTGGTTTAACTGGAAAAAATAGTGAACTTTTATTTCGACTAATTCGAGTTCTAAACAATGAATCAATTATTTTTTTTGTTATTAAAACAAACGTTTTAGTTTCTAATAATATTCAATTCTAGTGATATAAAAAAAAATTTTAAGAAAAAATTAATCTCAATTGAAATACCTCAATCTCTTCATAGAGTGACATTAGCAGAAAATACTAACGATGTATACGAGATTATAATAGTGTTTAAAAACCCAGGGCAAAAATGAATAAATAAAGCAGATGGTGTGAATGTAAACATGGTGGAATGACATTAATTTACCTTGGTCACCGGCCAGGACGAGGATGATCGTGTGGATCATCAGGAGTAGAAGGGCGGGGCTGAAGATAACGCGTCGGTGTCGCATCTCCACTGAAACAGGCTTTAATTCTACGTGACACGCTGTCGCGTCATTCCTATTCAGTCTTGTGGTGTGTATCCAATTGTAATTTATACAGACACTTCTTGTTAACTTATAAATGTATTCTCTTCAATAAAATATCTCAAATCGTTTAATTTTATCTAAATCCTTATAACCCATTTTCATCATCAATTTTCAATTACTATTTCTTCCTCGAATTTTCTTGCCATCTTCTATTTATCGACTGCCTCATTTGAAGCACATCTTAATAACATTTCTACTCTGGAGATGAGGATTAGCAGAATTATTATGACACCAAAGTAAAGAAAATATAAACAAGATTACTCTTTCTCACGCCAGTTCAGACGGGATTTTTCTTCTCTATGTTTATTAGTTTCTTTATTTTCTTCTTTTATATTCCTTTGTTTTTTTTTTCTGTTCAGTTCAACAAACGCTCTAAAGTGTTATACACTAGTCTTCTTCCTGGAACCGAAAGCAAGGATCCTCCTTTAGGTCTCACCGATTCTCTTTTGTATTCTATAAAGGAAGTTGACGTAACTATCCAGCCCTACTTTCGTACTTTAAGATTTACGTGAATTTCCAAAGAACTCCGGAGGTTAACTGTCCAATATCTTTTAAATAAAGTCTTTATTTTCCTTTTATTATTTCACTTGCTTTGTTTCCGATTTATTCAAACATTTTTATTTACCCTCTAATGATAAGATAATTACATAAAAAAAACTGTACACTAAGAAATTCTAGATGAGATTTACTTGAGTTTTTTGTTCTCGTTAATTGCCGAGTCCACTCATGATAGACATGGCGATTACTTGGAAAAGTTTCGACGGAGTATTCATCTTAGAGGTGGAAAGCGTTTGGTGAATTTTTTTTTCTCCTCCAATATGCCACTAAAAGCCTTGGTGGTAGTTTTCATTGACCCGAATCAACTTGATAAGTTTTTAATGTTTTTCTTCTTCTTACACTTGATTAGAACAAACTTTAGATCAACTTGGGATAGATAAAAGAATGATTAGAGTTGATAAACACAAGAAGATTCAGTTTGAAGAAATGATATAATATAAATGAATAAAATTCGATGTATGATAAATCAATGAGAAATTAATTAAAGCCTCTTGTTGGTACTGAGGGTAATCAATGTATTGAAGAGAAACTCTTGATCGGGAGTAAACTATATGTTCATTCGTGTGAAAGTCACCAAAGCTCGTTAGCACTCATACAAATGTATATACACTCACGTAATTAATTTTCACTACTAAACTCACCACGTGGATCACTTTTATTACGAAACAACTGAATAAATTGTTTGAACACTTTACTAAAGCACAACAAATTAAATTCACCCTCAAGAAAAACTCTAGTTCATTTATTTAACTGATTTTTAACGATGTTAAACTGCTTTATTTATTATTCTGTTATCTAAATTGTCTTTACTGTAACATCGAACTTTTAAAAATAAATGTGATAACAAAAATAATGTAATAGTGATCAAGCAAATGAGAGAACGTGAAAGATCTTCACTGAGATGAAAGAAATGTGTCAGACGCGAAATATACACGACACTGAACAAAGCTTTCGTAGGCAAACCTACACCCGAACTGGTGAAGTTCCGAATGCTGAAGAGTCGAGCCAGATGTGTTAACCGTAAGCTGGAGCAAACGAGCGTGCGCGAGAGATGAACGAACACGCGCGAGAGTCATCGCGGTTTGCACGTGCACTTTTCTCGGATTTCTTCGTCTTTATTTTCTCTTCTTTGCTTTCTCCCTGTCCTATACGACAGCTGTGATGATACAGTTACATAAATTCATGGACTGGTAGAATTCGATGGATAATATGAAAATTAATAGGCTACCATTTGGTTGCAAGCTCAGTCGACCCTCAATAGATTGATACTAAACCAATGGGACAACAGTATTACGGATTTCCATATCGTGAATTCACGACATCCCGGATAACCGCTACTGCAACTCGAAAGTGAAATTAGTATGATTGGCTTTGGACGTTTTTGATCGAATTTAATGTTTTGAATTTTAAATTTTTTTCTTCAATGTCAGAACAGGTAAATAAAATTCGTTTCAAAAGCTGGTCTCTATAAAAATGTTCCAAAAATCAGACACCTAACATTTTCAAAAGTAATTTATTAAATGTCAATGACGTCATGTTAATGTTTAAATTTATGATGTTCTATAATTACTAATGATTTTTTTTTGTTTCAGAAAATTAGTGTTTATTCTTGGAATAAGTTGATAACAAGGATGATTAAAAAGATTGAAAAGTTTTCATTATTATCAAAAGAATCCGTGCTCGTAGAAAATCAACATCCATAGATTAAGTGAGGTGATTATTGAAGTTTATGAATCATTAGTCCAAGAAACTGCTATTCATATTTCAACATCGTTTCCTCAACACTTTGGGGAAAAAAGGTTCTCATAGAATTGAAAATACTAGCGTTAATTCTAATGTTGAAAGTTTTATTATATATAATTAATTAACCTTTTTTTTTTTGGTATTTCATTTGACTTCCTTGGTTGTTTGACAATTTTAATATCATTTCGTTTTGATAATATATTGCTCGAGCATCTAGAGTCAATATTTACCATCAATCATTTTTCAACTAACCAAAAGCTATATTCTTATGTATTTAAAGTTCAAAGTTAACTTGTTTAATGAAATATACTTTAATAGAGTTTGTTTGAAATTTTGTGCTGGTTTGATATTACCATGAGACAAGTTGATTCCACAGATTGAATTTAGCTGAATTATTTTCATGGTATTGTTAATGAAAAGGTTAGACATTCCACATGTGAAATGAAATTATTACCATTGAAAAACCTCTTTTAGAATTGATGTCTTAGAAAAGTCAACAACACGGAAGTTATTTTATGCATGGAATAAAGTTAATTTAACTTATATTTTTGAATGAAACAGCTTTGTGATGAAGATATTTAAACATGTTTATGTGTAAATTCCAAGACAACCATTTTATAGAGTATAAGTAAAAATTTTTAAATTAAAAAAAAATAAATAAATGATTTAAATAACATTCCACTCAACAATTTCAATTATAAATAAATTCTTTCATTTTGGTCAATTGTTTTGCATTCATTCACAATCACTGTAGTTAACAAATGTATCTAAACTATTTTATCAGGCTGTAGTAATCAATAATAAAATGGTAAATTATTGCTATACATATTAATTCCCTACTGTTCTGTACCCAGATGTTTATAATAAAAAATTTCAGAGAATCATCAAAATATCAAAGAGATGCAATGTCGATATTAAAGTGAATAAAACTATCAACATGACGGCAAACTATTGTTGCATATTACACAGAAGAGAAAAGCTGTAAGCTGTCTTGAAGAGAAGAAAGTTGGAAAAAGAGCTTTGTGGAAAAAAAGAAGAGACGAGATAAGGACTTATGAATTTGAATAATTATTAAGAATGATTTTCTTGTAATAATCAAGTAAATTGAATAACTTTTTATTTTTCCTTTCCTTCAGTTAATTATTATATTATTTATTATCAAGTTGTTTGACTTAAACTATTTAGCGAAGAATTTTTAGAAAATAAAAAAAATCTTGGTGAACAAAATATTCCATTTTTTTATTTTTTATTATTATATAAGTATAATTATACGATACAACTTTGGAGAAATCTTTGCATAATCACTCACTGATGCTAGAAATTTTCTAGGGGGAATATGGCTATAGCTTAGAAATAAATTTTTTTACAGTGTTTTACTGTAATGCATTTCAAAGTGTGTCATGCACATTAAAGTAAATCAATATGATATAATTCAACACTTTAAAGTGCTCGATCTGTTTCGATTAAACAATGAGTAATTGTGTAATGAATGTTTTCAAAATATTTAATCAAGAAGAAAACAATAAAGATATAATTTTTTCTAAATATATAATGGCTATTCTAACAGATCTCATATGAGTATTGCAAAGTGTTCATTGAAGCATGTACACCCTCATTGTGACTGACTTTAGTTACTAACTAGCTTCACTTTATTCTTCCTTCATTTGTTATTGACTACTGATTTACGTTAACTCTACAGCACACTAACGGTAAACTCAACCCCTTTATACTTTCACTCTGAAGAATATTACTAAACAAGAACGGTACTAACTTTTAAGGGTTACTAACGGTGTAAATTGAAAATACTAAACTGCCAATTATTTATGTATTTGATTTATTTTAGGGTCTGTAGGAAACGTATTTTAAATAAATACTCTAAAAGGTATTTATTTCACTGAAAATCTATCATTAAAAATTATCAAGCATCCAAAAATGGGAATTACAGAAAAATAAATTATTGAAATAAACGTCGAAGAAATTTCATAATGTCTGTTATTAATTAAAGTTATCAATTTATGTAACGAATTATGTAATTATTGCAATGCAATTTATTTTAAAAGAAAAAAAAAAACATCTATGATAAAAGTATTTGGTATTTATTTTACTTTTTTCTGAAAGGGCAATCACTGCCAGGTGTATTATCCATTTTTCTAGAAGTACTTGAACCGTAAATTATCTTTCAGAATCATTTATCAATTTATTAATATTGATTTTCATTGGTGGACACTTTATTTCATAACAGTACATTATAGATTTTCTTTCTGATTTTCTTCTTCTAAATGATTACCTGTATCAGGTATATTTGATGTTCTTTCTAAAACCTTTTAAGTATAAGTTATCCTTCGAAACCCATTTACTGATCTAGTTTTTTTATTTTTCATTGATGTGAAATGTACTTTTCAACGGTACATTAAATACTTCTATGGGTTTACAAGATTTTTTTATGATTCATTGAATCATCAATTGCATCAATGTATACAATTAAAGGTAGAGATACTTCAAGTGTGGAAAAGAAATTCCCTAGAAAGCTCCGGATTTAATTTTTTTTCTCTATTAAACTTGATAAATTTTTAAAGTGATTTATTGAACTGTTATAATAGATATTGTATTTTTAGATTTTTAAAGAAAAATTTCGAAGAAGAAAAAAAATTTAATGTTTAACATAAATTGTTTATAATTGAAGAATTCACTAAAATTTTATGAAAGACTTTAATACTGACAAATTCCTAGTCTTCCACGAAAGCTTCTAGAAATCCAGTGAATCTCACAACCGTGATTCAAGATATCCCCCATCAGGATTTCAGCATTGCTTTCTACCAACACTACTGAGACGTAAATAGCTTCATGTACAGGTGTAACAACAATACGAGGATTTGAGATTTAATTTTTGAAGCTGTTGAATATAGTATGAATCAGCAAACAAATAATGCTGATAAAAATTAATTAAGAATAATTTTTTCATCTTTTAATTAATTTGGTTTATTACAACTTGCTATCGAAATTGAAATTTTTATAAACAATATACAATTGTTTAGAGTCATGTGAAGTCATTGACAACCATGTTGTATTGATATTGAATTCATTTTTCAATAATATTAATTATTCAATAAGTAGAATCTATTTCAATTGTCTTTTCGATTCAAATTATTTTACACTCTTTTTGTTATAAAAAAAAAACGGCTAAACCGAATTTATTTAAACTTATTGTCAGATCTTCTTCATAGTATTATCTTTCGAATGAAATTAGTCTTGAGTCGATATCATTTTTTTTAACTCTTTAAATATGCTTTTGAATGTTCCAAAATGTAAAGATATAACAAAATTATAAATGTAAAAAATCAATTTCATTACAATAACTTCCTAATAAAAAATAAAAAAAAAATTATCTTCCAGAATATTTCATTTTTGTAAAATAGACATTAATGTAAACTGCTCTTAATTAATTACATCAACATTTATCAGTTTTTTCTCATATAAATCCTATTATACATAACATTCGATTTACGGAGCAATTTAAATTGTAACTGATCTTGCAAATAAGCTTTCAATTAATCCACATTGATAACTATTTTTGATGCAAAATATCTACAATGAAAATATCCACTACAAATCCATTTGACATTTTAAGTGACACAAAATTAATTATGTATTTGAACAACATTCTGATAGTAAATTATTTTTTTTTTTTTTTATTATCATTATTTAGTTTATTTTCTTTTAAACTCATATGAGATAAAATTTATTTTATGGAAATAAAATAAATATCTTTGTTACGCTAGAAATTTTAATTAAAAGTTTACTAGATTTTTTTTTCATCGTTTGAAATACCATCGAATGAAATAAAAATAGCAATTAAAAAAAAAAAAAATACCACTCAAGTAACATATCGACAAAGCTGTTAATTTACCTCAGATGTTACGAAGGGTTGAGATGAAAAATGTTAGTCACCGGAAATTCATCATTCATTTTGTCGTTTTCGTTATTTCTGAAATCTTTGTATCAGAAAGTTATTTTTATTTCTCCTAATGATAATATTAAAGCTAAATAATAGATGATCTATTTAGATTAACATGACATTTAACACCAAATATTTATGAATATTATGTTAAACAAGCCTTAATCATGTTCTTGACTTCATTTTTTATTTTTTTTTTTTTTTTTGCTGTGACAATTGTTGTTTTTTCTGATGATATATAATTTATTAACACAGATTGATGTC